CGAGGTCAAAAGTATTGATTGACGTTTTTGCTCCGAGGTCGAAAGTATTGATCGGCCAGGTTGTCGATCACGTTTGAGTTTCATTATACGTGTTAGTGACTCGTACAGATACTTGTCAACTTTACTCGGTTCGTCTCCATCTATGAAAGTTGATCTTGCGAGGTGTCGTTCAAGCATGTTCAAATCCTTAGGAGATTGCAGCTTTAGGAATGGATACTTCTCCAGTACTTCTTCTTCGTTGTTATCTTTCTCTTTGATCTCTAACGACACGTCTCGCATCTTGTTAATGTATTTTAGAATATTCTTGTCGGAGAGGCAATAAGACTCTTCAAATAAAGCAGATATTGCATCGTCCATCAACGACCATTCATTTCCATCAATATACTTGCTGTTTTTCAACAAGTCTTCAAGAAACTCCAATGCTTTATTTAGATCTTTTTCACTCAGCTTGTTCTTCTTTATAAAAGATTGCTGTAACTTTTTTTCTTCCGTCTTCAGAGCAGAATCGTTTTCTTCTTTCTTTCTTTTGTCCTTTTCTTCCAGAACATTACCACACCAGGTCAGGAAAACGGGGAACTTCTTCTCCATAACTTGAGGGTAGGTCGTAGTCGGACTCCCATGGTACTTGTATGTAATCAGCGATTCATAGATTTTCCCTATCCATTCTGTTTCTGTCACAGGGCCCATATGCCGGATCATCAAGGTATATGATAACGCTCGCTTGTAAGCTTCTTGGGTTTCTGCTGACATTTGAATCATGGCTGGGCTTTCGATTGCTTCATTCCACCATTTCCAAAATGAAGAAAAGTCTTTAGAGTCGTCTTCAAATAGGAGTAATGTGTCATCTCCCCGTTTATAATCGTTTTTACTATTAAAATCAGCTTTCTTGGTGGATGGTAAAGAAATAACTTTCCTGTATGGAATAGAGAAATTATTTTGACCGGCAAACTTCTTGATGAGGTTATAACTAAGCTCAAGCTGTTTATTTGCTTTCTTTACCTGTTCATTCTTCGAGTTATTTTTCACCTCAAGTAATATTATGCCAAGCTGGTGGTGGAAAATGATGAAATCGAACTCTCCTTCGTTCGATGTTAATTCAAGTGCTGCGTAGCCTTTGCTTTGATATTTCTTGTTCCATTTTCGTATATCTTTTAACTCAAAACCGTGAACAACAAACATACCCATTCTTTTGACGTCTCCAAGCTTCTCCAAGAGCTTGTAGATGATACTTTCACCGTTATCCCCTCCCTCAGTATAGACCACAGGCTGTGTGATACCAATCCGGTGACGACTTTGCTTTGCTTGAAAGATTGGAGGAATCATGTACGTTTTATTGTCGTCCTTCCATTCGGGAAATCGGTTGTGTAGAAACACTTTAGCAATATCCTTAGCTTGACTTATCTATACAATGATAGTAATATATTATCGTACTTGTCACTATTGAATATTAGCAACGTTAACATGGTATAGCCATTTTCTATCAATACAATTACTGTAAACTAACAAAACATTACGTATTACTTATACAATCCATCGTGCAATATGGCGTCACATCGGAAGTAAATATGCACATCTGCATGTAAATACGAGGTCAATTCTGCAGTGAATAACCACCACGATTAAAGCCAGCTTGTTTACATTAAGAAAAAGTGAAGGCATGTCGAGATTCGCCACGGGAACTGAAAGCGTTTTAAAAAGCTATTAGACAAACACTAAAGCTAACAGCGTTAAGAGTTTTTAATGAGTATTTTACCTTAAAACTAGTTTAGTGGAACTCTCTTTATCTACCCTTTGTGTTTTATATATTCGTTATAAAATAATTATTGAATTCGGTTTTCGTGTGATATCTAGAATTATCAAGGCTTCGGTTTGTGTTATCTGCCTCAGCCTGTGGCTTCGGCAGATAGCACAACCTCGGCCTTAATAAGAATTCTCGATATCACGCTCAACCTCATCCAATAAGTAATATATCAGTGTTGCAAACGCGAACCGAAGGCCAGCGGTTGTAAATCAGATACACATTGCATGTGAAATGCTGACGTCATTAGAAATGCAAATTTTTAAAAAAACAGTGCGCTATATTTCATTATTTCGTGCGGTGACCTATGTTAAAAGACTTGAAACTTTGCACACTGTTTTGTGCATAAAACCTAAAAATACAATGTTTAAAACTGTCTAACTATTATACACCTGACGTTTTGTAAGCTGTATCGTGCCACCTTAAAATACGAATGCACGTAAGTAATGAAGTTTACCAGCTATTTTGGCAATATTGTTCGTTAAAGCGGCGAAAATTGAAACTATAAAGACTGATCCAATCTACAGATATTGATTAAACATTCATTTCTTTTGAATCTTTTTTATGAATTAATGAGTTTCTTAATTATATAGTTGAAATTTTTGGTTCATTTAACTTTTTTAAATCTTTAAAAAAACTGTATAAAGCATTATATGTAGCCTGCGTGCAGCCTGACTTTTTGATGGGGAAAGGGGAAAAGTGACTTTTCCCCCTTCACGATCAAAAAGGGAAAGTGACTTTTCCCCCTTCCCCATCAAAAAGTCAGACTTTTTCCCCTTCCCCATCAAAAAGTCAGACTTTTTCCCCTTCCCCATCAAAAAGTCAGACTTTTCCCCCTTCCCCATCAATAAGTCAGACTTTTTCCCCTTCCCCATCAAAAAGTCAGACTTTTTCCCCTTCCCCATCAATAAGTCAGACTTTTTCCCCTTCCCCATCAATAAGTCAGACTTTTTCCCCTTCCCCATCAATAAGTCAGACTTTTTCCCCTTCCCCATCAATAAGTCAGACTTTTTCCCCTTCCCTCGTTCTCAGCTCCTAATAAAAAACAGCTTCCTGCGGCACTGCATGCTACTCAGCTACTGTAATATGTCTGTGCGTAGAATATGCATATTTTTGTTTGTAAATTGCGTCTTCATTTTCCGGACAGCAAACACCTTCGTGACACAGAATAAAGATCAGTAACAGAAGGGCCACTCAGCCCCATCAATAAGTCAGACTTTTTCCCCTTCCCCAT